GTTGCACCGGCCACTGCGCGTGCTGCTGTGCCGCCTGCACTGGCCGGCAAGCCGCGAACCTCAGGTGAGGTGCGGCAGCAGCAGGCAGCAGGGGAGGCGGGCAAGGCAAGACCGGGCGAGGAAGCAGCAGAGGAGGGGCGAGCGAGGCGGGCAGAGAGGGAGCAAGTGGATTGGAACAAGGCGTGGTACGCGGTGGGCGTGATCGCAGACATGGACGCGAGTCGGCCGCACGCGCTCACAGTGGTGGGCCGCCCCCTCGTGCTCTGGCGGGACGCTTCCCGAACCTGGCGCTGCTTCCTTGACCAATGCCCCCACCGCTTGGTACCCCTCTCTGAAGTGAGTCTTGTGCCCGCACCGCCTCGTGCCCCTCTCTGAGGTGGGTTCATTTCTTCACCCCGTGCTCCCCGCCTCTCCGCATCCCATCCACTTGCCCTCTTCCACCTGCTGACCTGCATGCACAAGTCCGGGCGGCTGTTTCGCCCAACCTATCACCTCTCACTCCCTACTCTCCCCTGCTTTGTGCCCAGCCAGCCATCTGCCACACCTTCTCCATGTGCGTTTCCCGCCTTGTTCCTCTGTCCCCCTCCCCCTGTCCCCCTACGTGTGGCGTAGCCTCGTGTGGGCGCCAGGGATGTCTGTTTCCCGGCATCTCACCCCCATCTTTCCCTCCGCCGCCCCACAGGGCCGCATAGACTCGGAGGGCCGCCTGGCGTGTTCGTACCACGGGTGGGCGTTTGCAGGCAGCGGCGCGTGCCAGCTCATCCCGCAGGCGCCCCAAGACAACCCCGGCCAGCCCCCCCGGGCCCTCTCCTCTCCCCGCGCCTGCGCCACTGCCTTCCCCACCAGGGATTTCCATGTGAGTGTTTGCACATGGCCTTTGTCTAAAACGATACACCTTCCGTTTTGTCTTACATGCTCTATGTTGTCGTCTCGTCTTCTATCCAAGCTCTCCAGACACGCTTGCACCTGTTGACTTGACCCTGCTGTGCCGACTTCAACGTCCCCCTTAGCCGCTTTCCCTACCTCATCTCCTCTCTCTCCCCTTCACACCACACCCAACCCTACTCCCACTCTCACTTACCCACACCCCAATCCCCACCCGCACCCGCACCCCCAACCCCGTGGCAGGGCATTCTCTTTGTGTGGCCCGACAGCGCCTCTGTGGAAGAGGCGGAGCGCACGGCCATTCCCGAGCCTGAGGGAGTGGACTGGTCCGCGTTTGACGTGGCGCTGTATGCGCGCCGCCTGCCCTACAGCTACGAGATGCTGGCGGAGAACTTTGCCGACCCGTCGCACCTCTACTACGCCCACCATGGCATCGGCCCTCTGCACCGCGACCAGGGGGCGCCCATGAAGGAGATCAGCATGCAGCGCGTGGTGAGATGAGATGAGAGGCTAGTGCGTGGTGAGATGGGCGTGCGGCGCATGGGGAGATGAGTGTACGAGCTGTGTGAGGAATGGTGTGTCTCATACCAGTTGCTTCGCTGCCCACGACAAATGCACGCCGTTTCACATCTGACTTGTGCCCGCCACGCCAGCTGTTTTTTACCACAGCTGGAAAAATACTTCTCGCGCTTTCAGCAAACCTCTACAGCCTTAACACTTTATACTGATGAGGAGCGCATGCGGTGCGTCATGAAGAAATTGCAGTGTAATCTTCCTTTCTTTTTGAAATTGCCTCCTTGTGAGAGTCGATCCACCATACTTTCATCGTTTTTACACCCTCTCCACGTTCCCTACGCATGAGCTGTCAGACCAAGGAGGGCTTCCAAGGCACCTTCCACGATGCTTCCTCGCCTGCCACCTTCACCTTCAGCGCCCCCACCTTCATCTGCTACAACCGGTATGCGACAGCTCTGAGCATTCGTTGTGATCGCTTCACTACAAACCAACTGTCTTGCAGCATGCGACAGCCATCTGTTGCTCACACTGAACCGCGCTTTTAAGCTGGCGTGTGCATGTCCTGGCGCTCGAACAAACCCACCGTCACACTGCCTCGTAACTGTCCTTCCTGTCCCATGTCAGTGCTCTCGTATCTATGTATTGAACTCCGCAACTGTGCATACGTGTGTCACCACCTGCAGCACCCTCGCTCCACCACCAGCGGCAGCAAAAGCAGCAGTGGCAGGGGCAGCTCCACCCGCACCCACGACGGTGCTCATCTGCCTGTACATGACGCCCATGCGCCCGGGGGAGTGCCTCATGATCTTCCTGCAGGCCAACAACGAGGGTGTGGTGAAGGGCACCAAGGAGGGTGGCAGTGCTGATGGCAAGGGGGTTGAGAAAAGGGCGGTGCCAAGGAGGAAGTCGCTGTGGGGGGAGCAGTTTGCGTCGCAGGCGTGGCGATCGCACCTCTTCACTCACAATGTCTTTGACAGTACGATGCCTTCCCGCCCTGCTTGCTTCTCCTGCCCTGCGTGCTTCTCCTGCCCTGCTTGCTTCTCTTGCCCTCCTTGCTTCGCCTGCCCTCCTTGCTTCTCCTGCCCTGCTTGCTTCTCTTGCCCTCCTTGCTTCGCCTGCCCTCCTTGCTTCTCCTGCCCTGCTTGCTTCTCCTGCCCTGCTTGATTCTCCTGCCCTGCTTGCTTCTCCTGCCCTGCTTGCTTCTCCTGCCCTGCTTGCTTCTCCTGCCCTGCTTGCTTCTCCTGCCCTGCTTGCTTCTCCTGCCCTGCTTGCTTCTCCTGCCCTGCTTGCTTCTCCTGCCCTGCTTGCTTCTCCTGCCCTGCTTGCTTCTCCTGCCCTGCTTGATTCTCCTGCCCTGCTTGATTCTCCTGCCCTGCTTGATTCTCCTGCCCTGCTTGATTCTCCTGCCCTGCTTGATTCTCCTGCCCTGCTTGATTCTCCTGCCCTGCACCGTGCCTTTCATGCCTGGGTCTCCTCCTCACATCATCAGGCAATCATGCGTGTCCAGACATAAGTGCCCCACACATTTGCCATGAGTTCCAGACATAAGTGCCCCACACATTTGCCATGAGTTCTAACTTCTATGTTACATTCTCCTCTGTACCTCTCTGTGTGTCCTCCTTTCCTCTCCATTGATCTCCACCTCTCCCCTCCCAATCCTCCCTCCCTCCCCATCCAGGTGACAACTACTTTCTGCACTGTCAGGACATTCTCGTGGGCCAGAAAATCGAATCTATTGCCGCCCGGCATCGAGGTGCTGCCATTGCCAGGGCAGGGGGAGGTGGGTTGACAGAGCAGGAGCAGGAGGAGGTGGAGAGGGCAGCTGAGAGGGCGAGCAGTCGGTTCTGGCAGTCGGAGTATTTCCTGCCTGCCCCGGCTGACCTCTTCGTGGTGGCCTTCCGCCAGTGGATGGGCTCGTATGCAGGTAGGCTCATGGCGACAGATGTGTGTTGGTTGTATCGCCAAGTGCCCTACATGACAGAATGAAGCGTGTTTTACCCAAGCAGCCATTGCTGCCTACTCCATGCTGCACCCTGCACTCCTCTTTCCCCTTCCTCTTTCAGCCTCTATGCAAGCATGTTGTCCCTCTGTTGGCCTGCGTCATCTCTGTACGCACTCCCTTCCTACATAGCAAGCACGCCCATTGTCTCTCCCTGCCTCCGCACCTCATCCAACAGGCGGCGCTGTATCTTTCCCCCCAGGCTACTCCCTGCCCCCCCAGCCACTCCCCAAGGCAGTGGTGTTGGGCCGAATGGCCTCCCACACGGCACACTGCACCTCTTGCTCCTCCGCCCTCGCCTCCCTGCAGCGAGCGCACCTGCTGCTGCCCGCACTCTCTCTGCTCGCCGCTGCTGCTGCCGGTGCTGTTCCCCTAGCGTTTCCATCCGCCTCTGTTGTGTTTTCTCTTGTCCTGCTGCTGATGTCAGCAGCGCTAGCAGTAGCTGCCTGGAAGGTGCACCTGCTGATCCCGCAGTTCATCTATGTCGGCTGGGATCATTCCAAGACCTAAGTGGTGCCTCACGCACGCTTCGTATGTCATTGCGCAATATCTACTTTAATACCCTTTTTGCTCACCGGTATCTCTACTGTTGTGTCACGCGAATACGGACTATTCACGCTACTGGTAACACTAGTGAAGGGACACATGATACACTGACTACTACGACAATAAAGTAATACTACCAACACTTCATTGCAATTGATCTCTGTTACTAGCACAAAAAAATAAACCATCGATACCATACCTACTAGTCTCCTGTAATTCATAAAAGTCACAAAGATTCATACCGCACTTCACAGCAATGAGTTTTGCGGACTAGAACCAATGGTCGTTCATCATGGACAGGTACCGATGCTCAGTTCCATGATATCAGCATTACCACCCGACAAACCATCGTAATCAAAATCGTTATAACGATAAACTTCATCCCAAGAATCATCCCCGCGATAGGTTGGGCGCGGTGATTTGTACACTCCGAACAAGTGACCCTATCATGTGACATACGAAGAGGTTATGCACTGCAAACAGAGAGAGTGGCCGAAGGCACCACGAGCAAAAATCACATTAGCAGACCGTGTGAGCTGTTTAATTGATGGTCGCGGAGAAACCCGGGTGCAGATGAAGCAGCACACCTCGCCCTCATGGCAACCCAACGCAAAGTGAGCCGTCGGATTCAACAGAGCAGTGGCGTTCCATGCCTGCCAGCAACGTCCACGCAGCATGGCACATGGTTAATGGTGGCAGAAAGGAAAGGCTTGTGCTCAACATTTATTCTCAAATACCCGACCGACACTCCATTCCAGTAGCACATGGAAACATCACAATGACACGATGGGATAGCATAGCATGGCATGATACAACTCCTAACCACATCACCTCATAATGGCAGAAGGGGCATGTGCTCAGAGAAAAGGGCTGGCCTTGGAGCAGCCAGTGGAAGCTGCAGACAGGCAATGGGGGAGAGGGATGAGAAGGATCATGCAGCTAGGTTTTGAATGTGCGGCCTACGCCGTGGTTTAGAGGAACATGCGTGCCGATCGTAAATGGAAGCATGAAGCTGGTGCTACCCTGTGGACCATCCTACTTTGCCCACGCTCTCTCAAGTACCCACCCCTGCCAGCCATCCATACACCGCTGAGCCATACCGTGAGTGCTTGAACTTAGCGACCGCCCCTCGCAGCACACAACAAGGCTCTCCCGCAACCGAGTGCTCCCACCAACACCCCTTTGTTGGCATCAACACTGCCGCACGCTCCTGCACCCCTTCCCCCACTCCTCCCTCCCTTTCACCCCCCTCCTCTCTCTTTCCAACCCCAAGCGAGGGGCATGCAAAGGGAGTGGAGGCGGGAAAAGTTGTGGGGTCAGGGGTGCGCGGACGACAAAGTGATGGGAAAGAGGAAGGGGCAGGGAGGAAGCATTTGGAGAGAAAGAGTTCAGAGGCGAGATCGCAGCAGAGGTTCCATCATCGATCGTCGTCAACATGAGGACCGATGGACAGAGGAGAGGCAGCAGCAGGCGCGGCGGCATGCGGGGTGGGCGTGGTGGCACTCAGAGCAACGGCTGCACCACCAGCAGTTGGCAAACCTTCCGCGCCCTTGCAACAGACACTCGATGTGCTGCTTGCGCTGCCACTTTCGCCGGCTTCCGCTCCACCTTCTTTCCCGGCACTGCCACTCGCTGCACGCAGCACGCCGCTCTCCTCCACTGCGTCACTGTCACCCTCCACCTTGCACCAGCTTTCCGTCTCCAAGCGCAACCACGAACCAATCTGCAGCGCCGCGTTCACTCGGAGCGCGATGGCGCAGGCGTGCGCCACGCCCGAGCATGCGCTCATGCACCGCGCCAGGCTACTCGCCGCGTTCTGCGGGGCGTCGGCGCTACCCGCCTCACGCACCAGGCGCTCCACCACCGCCGCTACCGCCGCCAACTCACTCTCTTTGGCAAGGGTGGCGCGCGAAAGGCAATAACGCGGCCACAGCTCCGAGCGGGCGACAAGAGCGAAGGCGCGAAAGACGGAAGTGAGTTGGGCGATGGTGGTAAGAACATCGCCAGTGGCGTCCGCCACGCGGAACAACACCCGACCGTCTAATGCCTCCATGCTTGAGCGATTAATCTGACAGAGTATTATCGGCGCTAATTAGTAAGTTGGGAAGCACCTATCGCATAAATGAAACCCACCCAATCCAATCTGGGCGTCCATGCGTGCTCTGGCAGGTCCTAGAAGTCTACTATGCCGCGTAGAGGCTTGGATCATGCTTTCTGCACCACTCCGAACCATTACTCACCCGACACTTTGGAGTGGTCTGCTTGCTGCACCACTTCAAACGCCCTCACCCGACTGGAAGAATGGGCTTGAGAGCAAGAAATGCGAACCTGTTTGGGGGTGGGGAGATGCATGATGCGCACTTGTTAATCGCATGATACTCGAATCCACACACCCTGTACTACAACATGTATGATGTTAGGAGGAATTTGACAATTGGTTTTGTTTGAAGATTCTTTCAGATTATGACTTACACAATGGACATTGTTCTTTACTAATTTCGATACACTCCCACTCCAATAAGGGCCCATATGATGTCAACATGAGAATGCCTCGGAATCCAAATAAGTGGCCATATAATTGTAACTCAAATAACTCCTCTCCAATCTCTAGACCAAATCTATTTTGTGTTGGAATACACGAACGGTTACAACATTCCTGAAGTTCACCATAGCACGACATCTCACAACGAGACTGTGCGTGTAGTACAATCCTGCTAGCTCATATAGAGCGTGCACTGATTGCCTGGTCAAAAGTCGAAAGTCAACCGTCACGACTGTTGACCATCCTGGACTGGAGTCACAAGTGTCCTCGCAGGTTACGTGCTGCAACAACGTAGCCGTAAAGGTATCGCAATAGTTATTGCAACTGCAAACGTGCTTTCAACGATAACACCCGCCGACGCAAGCGTCGACGAGCAGCTTATTGCGCGCATCAGCGGACTTGAGAGCTATGAGCATCGACGGATCAAGCTACGTAGAGGAATCGTAGGCTTCCCCTTCCTGATGAAAATTGGCAAGTCAATTCCAAAAGGTCCTTCACATTTGACAACCGTCAAGCTTTAGCACCTACTCAAGACCAACAACAAGCACATTCCGAAGTATTAGCGTCTCAGCAGAACAAGTTCATCGAGTCATCAAAATTGAGAACATTGTAACACCCTTCCACTGCAGAGAATTCTATATTTGTAGCTTTGGATTCGACTTCCGCAAATGACGCAAATCAGGATGTACTACGACACTACTCTCACATTCCCAACTGAAGGAACTCGCAAGGAGAATACATTCTTCTACAACGAGTCTCTCCTCAAATACACCATCCTCATCCACAACTTGTCACCTACTGAGCAGCTTGGCATCCGCTCTTTCAAGAACCATTGGGCTCCCGCAGAATCGTCTTGGGAGTACCTTCAGAATATGTACATGGCAACATGGCACTATGAGTCCACTACTCAACCAGCTCATGTTAGTAAAAAATACTCAAGAAATGCGGAGGCAACATCCTTGACGACATGTTCGTCACCATAGTCCTTTCAGAACTAGGACCAGAATGGCACCAATGCAAGTCTCTACTTCGCGCGAAAGGCGCCATCTCCAAAGGGTCGCTCTGAGCAACACTCTGTCAGAATGTGATATTTGTCTAGCCTGCAGTGGGGTACTCTATAGCGAGTATAGCCCGAATTAGGGTTTGCTATATGTACTCAACTGCCTGCTAGTGCAAACCCCTCTTTCATGTTTCTCACTTCTGTTTAGCATTTTGACATGGTATCAGAGCAGGTCAACCCTCCTGGGTCGATCCTGTGGGTGGTCCCACTCGATGCTTCCGCTGCTGTCCTGCCTATCGCACGCCCTGGGCGCGCGATCTTTCCTGCCTGCCGCGCACTTAGTGCGCGCGTCGTTTTTTTTTTTTTTTTCTTCCCGCCGCGCGCTCTGCTCCGTCGACCCGCGTGTCCCTCCCCGTCGATCGTCGCGTCACCCTGGGGACCCGTGCGTCCCTCCCCGTCGACCGTCGCGCCGCCCCCGGAGAACCGCGCGTCCCCCCCATTGACCGTCGCGTCGCCCCTGGGGACCCGCGCGCGCCCCCCCGCGATCCCGTCGCGTCGCCCTAGGGACCCGCGCGCGGCCCCCGCCATCCCGGCGCGCCACCCCGTGGGACCCGTGCGCCGCCCCCGTGGACCCGCGCGTCGCCTTGCAGCCCCCTTTACCGCACACCCAAGTTCGCTTCCCGCACGCTTGTGCATGCTTCGCACACATCTGAGCTCGCTTACTGCACACTCAGGGTATGGGGGTGACGGGTACGGGGGTGGCGAGTGTGTGAGCCGTCCCCTGCTCCTCCTCCTTCTCCGTCTCCCACTACTACAGCTGCCGCTGAGGGGGGTGGGTGTGTGGGAGCCGTCGGAGTGGTACTAGGGGGGTGGCGTGTGAGGATTGCTACGGGTACAGTAGGGGGTGTGTGAAAGGGGTGTGGGACAGTTGGGGGAGGTTGACTGGAGGTAGCCGTTGTGACGTCAGCAGCGCCAGTAGTCCGGGGGTGGAGTACTCCGGTAGCCCAGTGAGCCTGCTGCGCAAGTCGCCCGTGGGTCCGTTGCTCCTGCCGCTCGTCTTAGCGCGGAGCCAGTTACTCCTGTAGTCAGGAGGTTGAGTGCTCCGGTAGCCACCGTGCGCGTGCTCCTGTTGCCCGTGTGACTGCGGCTTCACCCGTCGCCTTCTATCTCCACTCCTCTCACATTCTCTCCTCCTCCTCACTTGCCCTCTGTAACTGCCTCTAGCTTTGCTTATCATTGTGAACTATTGCTCTACCCGCTTGTTGTGCTGATTATACCCCACTTTGACTATGGGGGTGTGTCAGAATGTGATATTTGTCTAGCCTGCAGTGGGGTACTCTATAGCGAGTATGTCAAACTCATATGCTATAGTCTGTGTAGGCTGTAGTGGGGTAGACAATATGGGGTACAACACTTTTAGGTTTTCCTACTTGTACCCACCTGCTTGCTAGTTCATTCATTCCTCGTTATTTCACATGGTATCAGAGCAGGTTCCCTAGTGGGAACGTTTCCTAGGGCCCACCGTGTCGAGAGTCTAAGAACAAGAGTTGAAAGGTGGGGCCTAGGCTTAGTAGCCTAGGCCCGTAGTTAGGTATCGAGCGGGTTTTTCCCTAGGAGAGTGTCGAGTGAGTTGAGAGAGGAAAATTGGAGAATGTGTTTTCACTATAGGATTCGAAGTACATATAGCAAAGGAACACATGAAGAGGTGCACCACCTACAAATTTAATAACTACACTACAGCTAGAACTACATGCAGTTATAATAAATATGATTCTGACATCCCCCCGTAACTGCATGCAGGAATAGTTAAGTGCCGAGCACAACCTGCAGAGGTACACCAACGAGCAATAAAACAAGCAACAGCAGGTACTGCAGGCGGGCTAACTTTGAAAGGTTACCCCCTCCATCTCCTCACCCTCCTCCTTCCCCTCCCCCACACTGCTGCAGAAGCAGCAGAGAAGGGGGGAGGAGAGGAGAGGTGGAGGGACGGCTGCTTGTTGCCTCACACCCGCCCCCCCGGTACCACTCCCCCTGCTCACCCACATCCTCACACCCTCCCCCCCCCAGCGGCAGCTGCAGCGGTGGGACTGAAAGAAGGAGGAGGGGAAGGGAGAGAGTTGACCCCACGCTCCAACACCCTCCACCCCCATACCCTCCTCCCCACGGCTGCAGGGAGACAAGAGAAAGGGGGGGGTGGGAAGGAAGAAAGCCGCAGAGCGGCGAAGAGGCGTCGGTGCAGATGGGTCAGGGGCGGCAGCAGGGAGTGCAGGGGCGGAAAGGCCCGTCGCGGGCCAGTGCCACGGGGCGCACGACGGGTAGGATAAAAGGGCCCGATCGTGTGCCTCGGGGCGCACGACGAGCAGGGCACCATCGTGTGCCTCGGGGCGCACGATGGGCAGATAAAGGGCACCGTCGCGTGCCACGGGGCGCGCGACGGGCAGGGTAGGAGTCACACGCCCGTGGGCGGGACAAGGTAAAGAATAAAATCGTCACGCGCCCTAGGCGCGCGACCGTAAAATTTTAGCAGCGGAAGTAAAGCGGGCCCACAGGCCAGGACGAACTCAGCTCCGATAACATGTCGAGAGTCTAAGAACAAGAGTTGAAAGGTGGGGCCTAGGCTTAGTAGCCTAGGCCCGTAGTTAGGTATCGAGCGGGTTTTTCCCTAGGAGAGTGTCGAGTGAGTTGAGAGAGGAAAATTGGAGAATGTGTTTTCACTATAGGATTCGAAGTACATATAGCAAAGGAACACATGAAGAGGTGCACCACCTACAAATTTAATAACTACACTACAGCTAGAACTACATGCAGTTATAATAAATATAATTCTGACACACCGAATATCGTTCTGCCCAGAGCGCGCTTCGCCCCTGCCCGAGTCGCGCCCCGTGTGCCTACCCTCCCGACGCGGCCCCTTCAGGCCCCTCGTGGCCCCTTCGCAACCTCCCTTCGCGGCCCCTTCGCGGCCCCTTCACGGCCTCTCACGGCCCCTTCACGGCCCCTTTACGGCCCCTTCGCGGCCCCTTCACGGCCCCTTCGCGGCACCTTCACGGCCCCTTCACGGCCCCTTCACGGCCCCTTCGCGGCCCCTTCACGGCCCCTTCGCGGCCCCTTCGCGGCCCCCTCGCGGCCCCCTCGCGGCCCCTTCTTGGCCCCTTCGCAGGCCCTTCGAGGCCCCTTCACGGCCCCCCTCGCGGCCCCCCCCTCACGACTCCCTTCGCGGCCCCTTCACGGCCCCCCTCGCGGCCCCTTCGCGGCCCCCCCTCACGGCTCCCTTCGCGGCCCCTTCGCGACCTCGGCCCGTCGCCAGTCGCGGCCCCGCCGCGTCGCCCCCGCCTCGTCGCATCGCCCCTGCGGGACCCGCGAGGCGCGGCTCCTATGTGTCGCGACACCCCTGCGGGACCCGCGTGGCGTCTCCCCTGCCCGCCGCGGCATCCTGCCCTAACCCGCCCCTGGAGCAGCCACCCCTGCAGCAGCCGCCCTTGGAGCAGCCACCCCTGCAACAGTCGCCCCT